GATTATATTTGATACAAAGATTTGGATACTGTACTTGTGTTTTCCTTTATGCCTTACTACGGTAGTTCCTTTACCCTGGGCCTGCCTCCCACGTAGCCTAAGTTTCTTCCCTTTTGTTGCTATATGAAGAGCAAAATCTCATCCACTATTTATGTCACATAAAAATCAACAAATGCACATATATTTAAATACCATCTGATAGATAGTGTTTCTGCTCATTAGATCCCAGAACACAGACAAAGCAGTGATTATTGGGGATCTAACCAGCATTATGCAACTACTTGATGTTTGCCTAAACAAACCTTTTAAAGATGCTATTAGAGATCAGTGGATCAACTGGATGATTGAAAGGGAAAAGACATTTAGAGAGGGAGGCAGCATGCATGCATGCTTCTAGGAACTGTATATATGTTCAGGTATGGAGGAAATATCAGACCAGTTTCAATGACACTATGAATGAGGATAAAGAAGCTGTTGTTGATCTGATGATGATTGAAGATAATGATCTATATGATGATCAGGTTCAAACAGAAAACTGGGAAAAGTTATAATGGTAATGAAGACAATGAAGGACAAAGACTTCCATGGTTTTTAGTTAATAAAGGTTCAGTAAAAAAAATATTTTCTTCAGTGTATTGTAAAATATTTTAAGAATATGTAACAGAGAATTATAAGATAAATACCAGTAAATGGAAAGAATATACTAAATGAAAATAAATATAAGTAAAAAGATGAAGACAGAATAAGGAATACAACTAAAACATATATGGTATAGATACATATCAGACAAAAGGGGTGCTGCTGAAAAAGCAATATCTCAGCGATGTTAACATGTGTGAACAAAGATGAAAGCAAATTGGAGAAAGGAAGAAAAAACATTGTTAATTCTTCATTATGTAAGGTATTTGTAGATTTTAAGTGGCACCCATAGTTAATACTGTTCTGCTATTCATGTAGCAACAGAAAGAAGGAATTTAAGCTACAAGAGGCAGGCTATACTGTTATGGTTTGCCAAAGGTACTGTGGGAATGTAGCCTACCAGGTAGGTTATGGTCACCCAAAATACATGAATATTAACCCCTCCAGAAAAAAAAATTACCTGTGTATAGTGCAACTGGTCACCGAAAATGCATGATTTTTAGTCTCTTCAAAAAAAAAAAAAAAAATTACCTGTGTATAATGCAACCCCTTATTTTTTTTGTGTAAAAAGACAGATCATAAAAACTCACTATACTAGAGTATATATGGTATATACAAACTATATACAGTAACAAATAGAGTAGAATGAAGAGTAAAGTAACTAGGAAAAATACACTTGCAGTAACTGAATATTTTACCGACAAGAAAGTACCATTAACTTTGTTAATATTTAATATGTATTACAAGAAGATGCTTATTTATAAGAAAAAAGATGCAAACAGGTGAATATAATACAAAGTAGCAGGAAACTGAGACAAGATTAATAATAAAGAGAAGCTGATTTCGATAAGGATTACATTGTTCAGGTGGTTAAAGCATCTTGTGTAGTGATAATTTCCTTTACTTGTGATTAGACATTCATCTTATAAATAATCGAATACATATTAAATACAATATTGTGTGCTCGTTCAATTTAATTTTTTTGTTTTAAATTTGTCTGATGGACAAATCTTTTAAAACAAAATTAAAGCCTTATACGTTCCACTCATCTGACTTATATTAATATCTTATGTTAATAAAGGGACAGCTAGTCCAATTGTGACAGGTTTCTGTTAAGGAAAATCTATTGTGTGTTTAATTTCCTGTATCTCTCTCTCGATTCTTTTTAAAGTCGACACCTTTATTATTGTAGCATATCATTAGTATAATTTCATTTTTTTTATTAAAAAAATGCATCAATTAAATACATTTTTATAACTATAAGTCTTTTTAACCAATCACCATTGAACACCTACAACCAAATAGTTGACCCCATAAGTTCTAGTCTATTACAATGGTAATCCTCTGGCCCAAAGGGAAATAATATTTGTAAAACAAACATTAATTTCATTGTTCTTGCTTTATCAGAACTATAACTAAAGCTAAGCTAAATTTTAAGTAGCTAAGTTCATTAAGAAAGTGAAGTGAGTCATCAAATATAACTATGGTTAGAGTATCAGACTTTGTAATAAAGAATGGATTTATAACACATGAAATGTAAAGAAATCTAAGACAGATGCCAAATCCTTACTCAAGAATATTACTAATAAAATAAAAAATATCCCTTAATGAATCATATGATGAATCATTGGTGTCATGTTCCCCAATGCTCAAATAAGTTACAGAACCTGATCTTATCAGAATAAACAAACATGAGGGATGTCCTAACTCATGTAGCTAAAAAATAATGACAATATATTTAAAGCCAAGCAAAAATATAAAAAGTATTTTACCTTTAATAATTTGTCTGGATGGCAAGGGTCCTTTTCACTGACTGTGTTTTCATTTGATTTTATCTGTTCGTCTGTCAAACAAAAACATTTGTTGAATCAGTTATAAATAATTCAATTGACTTGCACTGACATACATTTTGGTTAAGATTCAGAAGTGATTTAGAAAAAATGCTCTGGAAAATTAGAAAGAAAAAAGTACTTTTTGGAAAAGGATCAGAAAGAAATACACTGAAAATTGCAAAATACAAATCAAACCCAAATATTCTGAAGAACAAAGGAAATAATGCAGAATAAGAAACAACTACACAAATGGTCTTTCTTTTTAGGCTTAATATAATTTTTAAAAATATCCAGAAAAGGAACATTTTAATAAATGTTCTTTATCTGTATAAATTTTGCCTGAACTTTTAACATTTTCATTTAATAAAAACTGCTTTCTATATGAATTTTTCATATTTTATAAGAATAAATAATCAGTCAAAATTATATTTTCACAATTTTCTATTAACAAAATTCAGGAAACTATTCACTTTTGTAGCTTATAAAAAAATTGTCATACACATAAAGCCAAAAATCATTTTTCTTTGATTAAAGGATATGAATTAATTTTATTTGTTTATCAAATGATAATTATCATTGTAAGTCTCAGTTTTTTCCTTTCTTTCTGATTGATAAACAAATAAAATTAATTCATAGCTTTTAATCAAAGAAAAAAAATGAGATGAGCCATTTTGCTTATAAGAGGGCCTCTTTCAAAATGTAACAAATGTACAAATTTTGACATACATCTTTAATATATTAATGAAGAAAAATGCAAAGAACGTGAAACCCATAATCAGTTTTTCATGTGTGTGTAAGTGACAAGTGAATAGTGAAAGGAGAAAATTTGAAAAAGCTGATTGTGCTGCACAAATACATGGTACTTTGAGTCTTCTATTTAGTTACCCCCCCCAAAAAAAACTTTATACTTACAATTTTCAGAGTGCTCTTTAGTTATAGTTGATGTCACTTCTTTACTTTCATCACCCGATTCTAAATCTTGCCTTTCTAAACTGTCTCTTCTTGGACTTAGCTGGTCAGACTCTCCACACTTGCTGTATGTACTTGAACTAGACTGGCTATCTGACCGATAATGGCTATGAACTGGACTATGCCTCCGCAAAGATTTATGCAAAGTCAGTCGCAAAGGGGATAGATCAAATAAATGTTCTCCCCGTTCCCCATTCGGGGTGGGTGTAGATATGATTTCAATATCAGATGATGTCGTCGTGTCAATCTCATCCCCAGAATCATGTCCACTGATACTTTTTTCACTGTTATGTTCCGATTCTGTTTTGGAGCTTTCTGAACGGTCGGCTGAATTGGAGTGACTGTCACTATGGTCTGACCGAGTCTCTTCCATGGCTTCTTCAATCAGGCATTTAACATAAGAGCTGTTTGAAGATGAAGACATGACACTTTCTGCAGCACCAGTCTCCAGTTCAATTTTACTCTCAGAATCCGTTGGAGAAACATCTTTCTCAACAACTGTCTCACCAGAACCACTTGTTTCAGCACTGCTGTCCAACTTGTTGTCATTCTGTGTCTCTAGCTTTCCAGAACCTTCTTCATACACTTCAACAATTGTACTTAATAAGTTAGAATCATCTTGAGCCTGACTACTTGGAGGATTCTTATATACAGAGGCAGTAAGGAAATGGGCATTTCCAACAATATCCTTTTCACACTCAGTTTTAAGATTATTGTTGGGGGTTTCTCCAGAGAAACAAGACTCAACCACTTCACTTTGTAATTGAACGGACATAAATTCTTCTTTTTTATCACAGTAGTCAGGTTTTTCCTCAGAGGCATCAGCTTTGGTGGAATTTTCTTCATTTACTTGTGCATGTGATTGAACCACAGTATTGAAACTATCTAAAGATTCACATGTTACATCCAAAGAAGACAAAGCATTATCACAGGGAAGGAGTATTTCATTAGAAGCAGAAGTAGTTTCAATTACAACCGTGCTTTCATTCATGGAGGAATCTGGAAAATTTATTACACTAACATTTTCACAGCTTGGGCTCTTTTCTGTAGAAGATAACACCAGTTCCATACTGTGGTTACCTTCAATTTGTTCTGATTCTTCCAAAAGTTCTACCGATTTTTCAGTCTCTGTTGTTTCTATATTGGAAGTCTCATCATTGAGACATGGATTTTGGTTTTGGACAGGATCAGATTCTTCAGGCACATAAATAGCCAAAAGAGAACCGCTTGGCTGAGTGCAACATGGTGATTTTGCCAAAACATCAGGTATCTGTGCATCTATGGACAGTTCTGTCACAGGAAAGCCTGAGTAATTTTCTGTACAATCTGAAGATACTATATTAAGGGGTAGGCTCTCCTTAGGAAGAGTAGTCTCTTTTGATGTATCCAAAGAGGAAACTTCAAGGAATTGACCTTGATCCTCTGAAACTTTGGTTTGTTCTTTAATGATTGATGGTATCTCTGGATCCTTTAAAATTCTATCTGATTCGTTTTCAGATTCTAATGTACTATCTTGAGAATCACTAACAGGTGGACTATTATTTGTTTTGTCTATAAACACATCTGAACTTTTCTCTTTCAGAGTCCTGACATCTTCAAGAACAACTTCAGAATCATCTTCAGACAAAGTGACTTTGTTTTCTATTGACTGATCGTCAGGTTTAATAATGGCAGTATTCTTCTCAGAGCTAGGTTCTTTATCTGAAGTTTCTGTTTTTACTTTGCCCTCATCTTTACCTGCCATAGTATTAATTGAATAAAGGGAATGACTCTTGGGGGTCATCTGTTCAGTGATAGGAGAGGTTTGTTTCTCAGTAAAGAAACTTCCTGGTTCTGGTTCATTGTTGAAGTCAAAAGGTAAAGCCCAAGAGCTTCGAGCAGTAACAGGTTTCTCTTCAGAGGAACCATCAAAAGATAACCATGTAGTCCAACTTGATTCATTAGATGACACTTTCTTTGAGTCTTTTGTATCTGAAAGAAAAAAAATTTACAGACAATAGAATAATTGTATTATATAAAATTAGAATATGTGCAGCCATACAAAATTATAATGTCACTAGTAATATACTGAACATTTTGTTCTAAATTACAAGAGCATAAAAATAGAAAATTAAATTTATCAATTAAAAATGTTTTGATCACAAAATGGATGACAAAAAGATAATCTAGATCTTACAGCTATTCTTTAGTTATTCTCTTAGGTTGAGTTCCGCTTTAGGGAACCAATTGTACTATTTTGAAGAATAAAGTTGATAAACAAAAATGGAAATTATTAAGGACTCAAACTAATAATTATTGTACTAAAGTTTTTGTAACTTGACTTTCCTGTTCAAAATCTCTTGCTTATCACATCTCTTTCAAATATTTTCATTTTGTGGAAAAACTGTCTTAAAATTCTTTTTAAATTAAGGTAATACTACCTTTTTCTCTGGCTTTAATGGGCAAACAACATTTTACCTTAAAATTAAATGAACTAATAATGTTTCCAAATGATGATTGACTAAGTATGAGACATAAGAATAATATAATTAAAGCTTTATATAATAGACTGAATTTTTTAAAAATTCTGAGTTTACAGCAAGTAAACTCCCAATTTTTGTTAATGAAGGGTAAAATTAGCAAACATCTGAGAAAGTGAGTAGTTACGAAAAAAAGCAACTGAAATAAAGATGAAAGAAATGTTAGTTAAAAATAAGCTGTAAGCAAGTTTGTCTATAATGAATACAACAACCTTTGTAGAAATAAAATTTTAAAAAAAAAGAAAAGAAAAAATAAGGATTTTCTAAATCATAGATATACCTTTTGAAGGAGGTGAATGGCCTTCTTCCTTGATATCCAGAACTTGGTCAATTTTTTTCTGAGCATTTTTCAATGCATTTGATGCAAAATGTGTGAAATTTTGAGAATCCCACCAACTCATTTTGCATGATACTTTAATTTAATCTGGAAAGAAAAAATTGAAAATTATTTTAATACCAACTACTTTAGCAACTTATACCTTGATTTCTGTTAAACAAATAGAAAAGAGAAAAAAATATCCAATAATTTTCTTTTTAGCTAAATATATTAGAACTTATGAACTTTTTCTTTGACTTAAAGACAACAAAAACTCTGAAATATACTGATAATCATTTAATTTCAATACTGAAAAGAAAACACTATAGAATAAAGTGTAAAGTTTACATCCTTCAACAGACAAAAAATTCTGAGAAGTTGATATGTGCTAATTTAACAAAACTGTATTATATAAGTAGCAAAAACATTAACATTTCTCAATGTAATTTTAGAATGGATTGTTATTTTCAGTTAATTAGTCACAAAAATATCAAGTATCAGATAAATGCTAAAACAAAAAAATAAATTAAAATTATTTGCATTACCACTGATATAAAATGTGAGAAATTCTTAGTGAATGAGTGATTAAGCAGGTATTGACTCACCAATGGAATACATTTCCAATATTCACTGAATATAAAACACAAGAAACAAGTTATAAAACACCCAGTGGGATAAAAATATCAAAATTTTAATTGTCTTAATATTTTTCAAAATGTTGACATGAAATTTTTTGCTGATTGTAGCAGACTTAAATGACATTTTGTTTGTTGATCTGTGTATTTTAAAAATTTCCCAGAACTGTTTTTCATGTCCTTTCTTGGACAAACCTAGAATAAAAATTAAATTAACATGTTTGCTCTTGTCATTAAATAAAAGATGATAACAAACAAGATCCAGATATTAGGCAATTATATGTAACATTATATTATTAAAAGGGGAGTTTTTGCAATACTGTCTATCCTATTAACATTTAAATAATTTGGCTATTTATTGTCTATTTCAGGTTGTAATCAAGTTAGAGATTCTTCCTGTGATAAGTACCATGCAACCAATTTCTGCCATATGCTACTCAGAAAGGAGATAGACAGCATCAAATAACCAGAGGACCAACTGACTATTTTATATTCAAGAGAGAATTGGACAAGATTGTAGAAGATTTGAGGAACAGTTTTCTACCAATATTACTTCCCTCACCTAAAAGAAGGTGTGTGTGTGTGTGTGTGTGTGTGTGTATATATATATATATATATATATATATATATAAGAGATGCTGAAAAGTTCTCTTAGCAAAGAGCTTTTAAAAAAATAATGGTTAGATTGTGAAAAGTGAGTCAAGTCCATTTTTCAGTACCCACTTGTAGATCATTTATGCTTCTTAATAAAACAAGTTATGAAGTATCCCTAGAATCACAATGACTGCTAAAATTCAGTATCACAGTGATATAAATCCAATTCTGTCTCACTGTTAATCATCTTTATTATAGTTTGGTTACTTGCATCGTACATCTGAAAAGAAGTGAGGTGAGTACATAATTACTTTATCCATAATAATCTGCAGAGATAACAGTGTAACAGAGTTACTGGTATGGATTCTACCAGCCTGTGAATTTATACCTGGTGATCAGTTGGAATGAGAATTGCTGCAGTTTTAATTTATCAAGTAGAGCAAATTACAAGCAGATGAGGAACTAATGTAATAGATTTACTGGTGTGAATTCAACAAATGACTGAATCTGTATTTGGTGGCAATTTCAATGGGAATTAACTTGAGAAATTGATATGAAAAGCTTAGATAGCCAAGCTAGGTAATGTGAATTTTACTAGCATACCTGGAGTTTGTTTTTTTTCTAGTGGGTTATTGAAGAAAGGAAAAGCATTTAATTACAATAAACTGAATTAGCACCTGGAATTGTCTTGGTTTGAACTCCTGATTTAATAGGATTTAAACTATTAGGATAAGGTAAAACAAGGTGGGCATACCCATCCTTCATCCCCACTAACTGCTAGAAAAATGACGGTTGAAATAATGCTAAATCTAATCTTGGCTTAAATCAGTAATGGAATGTCATTATTTTTTAATATTACTCCACAATTCTGTTTTGATTGGTTGAAGTAAAGTTCAATAAGACAGTTTGTGATAAGTGGGTGAAGTCATCAAACCCCTTCCCTAGTTGTCAAGACAAAATATAACAAAGTTGACATCACCAACTTTCTTTGCCACCTACTCCAGCCCCACCTTGGAAGATATTATTGAGAAGAACTTGGTCAACTGAAGAATTTTTTTCCTAGCCCAAGAAGCTTTACTTTGCAAAGTGATGTTTGAATGAAGTTTTGGAAGCTAACTTTAGTGGCATACCCAAGACCAAAATTCCCTGTCCAAGGAATTGCTGTTGTTTTTACAATATGTGATGAATAATGCTGGCACCTACTAACTCAGAAACTGGTTATAGTTAAATACACTAGAGCACCTCAAAATTGGGAAGAGTTAAACTGATAACTGTAAGCTATAACAAATAAACTCTTATTGTTCCTACAGGTAAGAGTCAGCTGTTTGTTTTGAGAGTCATTTTTCTTATAACTCACCTGCTTTACTCCTGAGAACATTTCACCCAACTAAGATTTCGACAGATCAAAAAGTTAGACACAATGTTGGTGGAAAGTGTTACATAATAGGAAAATAACTACACATTAGGTAGATGAAAGACAGGTAAATTAATAAGGAGATAAAGATGAGAAGCTGGAGATCAACAACTGATACTTTAACAACCATATTGATCTTTAGATCAAAAAAGTAATTGATAGAGCAGAAAAGTGCAAGTGTTAGGATTTAAATATGTGCAAATGAGCTAAAAACAAGCTGATAAAGAAAATAAAACAATGAAAAGACCTGATAGAAAATTGAAAGCAGGCACAGAAAATGAACAGAGTGGGTGACAAAATCTATAAATCTAAAAAATTTGTTGTTTCTCTCATAAGATGGCATTAGAAAAGTCTTTTTTTGTTTTAATCAACTTCATTAAAAAAAGCTGCTTTTGATTGCATTGTGACAGTTGTTTGGTTTGGTTTGGGGCATATCAACCACAATGGGTTATTTAATGCTGACAAGATTTTTATTGCTGGTAATAATGAACTGCTGGTAATAATTTTTTTCTTCGAAAATTAATTGCTGGCAATAATTTAAAAAAAAAAAAAAAAAGAAATGTGCTGCTGGTATTAAGACCTATTTTTACACTTTCATAGTGTTTTGACATCAGTTTGGGGGTTAACTATTTGTCCATAGCTAGGACCCTAGCCCAGGATCAGGATGGACCAGAGAACAGCAGCAATTAAGAGGTGATTCTACATGCCTGAGAACCCCCTGATCAGAGGCCTTGCTGCCAGATATATTTTATTGTCATACCCAGGACACGGACGGAGTTTATCGCCATGCCCAGGACATGGACGGAGTTTATCGTCATACCCACAATGAGACAGCTGTTATGAGCATGCATATTTTAGCTTCTTAAAATTGGTTATGCCACTTGCTTTGATATTTAGCTTCCACATTGTTGTAATACATTGTGATAAGTAATGAAAAGTGGATATTTTACAATGTGAAATGCAAAATCTCTCTTTATGTTCCATGTCCCTTGGGATGTAGGCGAGTATGGGTCTTCACAGCTTATGTCCCTTGCAGCTCTAAATAAATTCTGTCTTTTCATTATTTCTAAACTCCAGTCTATCATCCATTATGTTATGCATTGTTTTCCTCTTGCTTTCAGTCCTGTGAGTATCAGATTTTCCAAACCCTCTTTCCTCATTATGTGCCTCAGAAATTGCAACTGTCTCTTCCTAATGTTAAGTTTCTTTTTTGTTTCCATTTTCTCTAAAACCTCATTGTTGCTCACGTTTGGTCCAGGGTATCCTCAGCATCCTTCTGTAGAACCATATTTCTGTTGCTTCAACTCCCTTCTTCATCTTTGAGGAAATTGTCCAGTATTCACTGCCATACAGCAGAACAGATATTACATAACCATTCAGTAAATTTTTTTTTTTTTTTCTAATGAAGTTTTTCTATCTCTTAATACTCATTTTCCATCCTCTGTTAGAACACTTCTAAATATATTTAAATTGTTGTACTTGTTTGATTTCAGTATCTCCAATTTGTAATTTGCATTTTGGGCTCATCCTTTTGCTAATAACCATGCATTCTGTCTTCTGCATATTTTGTTAAAATTGTGGCCGTCAATACTGCATCCTGAGAGCATATCTAATTCTCTCAGAATTGCCTCACTGTAAAGGTTGAATAAATCCGGTGAGAATACACATCCTTGTCTTACACACCTTTCTATTTTTGCATATCTGCTGAATTCATTTTCTGTCTGTATACAGACAATTTGCTGTCAATATAGGTTTTTGATTATTCTAATGTCCTTCCCAAATATGTCAAAGTTGCTGAGCAGTTCTAACAGATCTTTGTGGTGTACCTTTGCGTAATCTGTAAAGCAAAGGTACACATTCTTCTGCATTTGCATTTCTCTTTCTGATAACATTACGAGTATAAATATTGTGTTTCTTGTTCCAGTGTCTTTGACAAACCCAATGAGTTTTGTTATATGGCTCATTAGGCTTATTGTCGGATGGAATTCACATTTGTTTGCACCTAGCTTCTTAGGCAGTGCTATGAAAATAGATGTACTTAGGTCTTCCAGTATATTGCCACTGTTGTAGATTTATTATTTCTTTAATCTTGTCTATGCTGAAACCATCTAAGGCTACCAGCATCTCTATTATGATTTCGTCTGGCCCTGCCCTTTTGTTTTTATTCAATCTGGCCAGTGCTACTTCCACTTCAGTTTTTAATATTTCCAGTCTGTCAATATTTCTGTGTATTGCTGAGTGTTCTCTTTCATCGCAGAAGAGTTCTTGGATATATTCGTTTCACATCTGAAGTGTTTTTTCATTCTCTAATATCAGTGTTCTGACCTTTGATTTTATGCATCCTATTGATGAACATGTCTTTGTCCTGTTAATACTCTTAGCATTTT